TGAGTGAGTCAGGAGGGGTCCCAGAAAGTGGGATGCTTTGGACTCCACTTTACAGAGGAGGTTTTATAGTGCAAAATTACAAGGTAAGTACAACACGGGACAAAACTATGATCAACCAGTAAGATTACACATATAACCATTTAGGTAATGTTGATGCAAGGAGGAAGCAAATCACATGGAAAGTGTACAAAGAAAGAACAAGGACCTGTTTTGGAATGGATGGTCAAAAGGTCCTGGTCACCCACCTGGGTGACTGATGCCTATTTCGAACATCAATCATCATTGTTTATCCCTCAGGGAGGTAGCTAGGTAGGTATAGTCACTTCCTTTATCTCACGACCTGCAACAAATGTGCTTCCAGCCACTGCTGTAATGTGTTCTCAACTTCTTTCCTGACTCCTTTAATGGCCTGGCCCTGTCTGACTGCCTATAATATTTCTACCTAATTTAGCTGTCTATAATAATAAGGCTATTTTTTTCCTAATGCTTACATCATTTTCTGGGGCAGTGGGGAGAGACACTAATATTTTCTTTGAGTGGGTCCAGCAGTATGCTGAAAGCATTAACAAAGGTACATGCTCAGCTGGCAAGATAGCTCAGTGGTCTAAAGTGTCTGCTTAGGTAAACTTAGGCAAGCACAGGGACTACGGTTCAATCCCTGGCAACACATGCTGTGCAATTCTCACCCCCAAAGCAGGCTGAGCAGGCCACCCCCCCACAAATACATGCTGTATTTGTGGACAATTCTTACTTCTAATGCAACTGGGTTATCATGGTGGGTATCACCTTTATACGGAAATGATTGGATAAAACTTCAAATTTTTATAAAACAGCTACAAAGTGCAGCAACAATTTAAAAGCTTGCACCCAGGTCTAATGTCTCAATAGCCAATAAATGAGACCCTCATCAAAAAGGCCATGGGAATTCTTTTTCTGTAGCCACAGTTAAGATTCTTAATGATTGGCATTCTGGTTCTCAATAACAACTTGGTGGGAAAAAGTTTTTATTTTTCTGGTCATAACACTCACTGGGCACTGGAATTCTTTCTGCTGCATGATTTGTTGTTGTGGGCTCACGCCTCATCATGTGTATTTGCTCTCTTTTTCAAACTATTGGAAGAGGATGGTTCTTCAAAAGATGAAAACCAATATTCCCATATCTCCTTAGATCAGTGAGAGCTACTTATTGTCCCTGGCTAGGCAGGATCAAAGCCCTTCTTCAGCCTGAAGCAATTGCTGAAGACACACCAACAGCCTTGTGAAATTTCTTAAGAGTGGGGGAAATCAAAATATTTAAAATTGCGCTTTAAAGAAAAACTGCAGCCTGAACACATAAGCCTGGTTTATTTACTTTTATTTATTTCCCTCTCCCAAAACAGCAAACCTGGGACTGAGACTGCAGCTCTATGGTGACACTGGCACAGGCACCTGCCCTGAGTTCAATAAACAAGCATACAAACAAAAACAGCAAACCTGGGCCACACCCTTTTCAGCTGCATAGGGATCTACACATTTTGTTTTACTCAGCAAATGGCTCACTTTCCCCCATGAATGGATTAGTCTTTGGAGATTTCCCATAGGAAAAGAGTGTTATCTCACTGGAAGGGGGCATCCTCTCCCACCCTCTCAAGACTGAAGACAAGACTAAGACTATATAGATTATTCCACAGATTTCCACCTCCCAAAACACATAAAAGATCGTTAGTTCCCAATTGCAGTGTGCTTCACTTCTTTGAGCACCCTCTTGAGTGCATTCTGTATCTATCACTAACAAATACTTCTCATGTCTCATTAAAAAAAAAAAAAAAAAAAAAAAAAGACTGCCACAGTGAAATGTCTTACGATGACAGCCAGTGCTGTTCTATACTAAGCTCACAGGATATTTTTGGTTTACATTTTTTTGTGGCACGGTGGGTGGAACTCAGAAAGATAATTTTTGCTCTTTTTTCCAAATGAGTACTACAGCATAAATACAGCCGTAGGGGATACCGTTCCTAACACAACTCATGTGTGGCTGTGCACAGTGGCACACAGCTGTAGCCCTGGTAACCCCACAAGATTGAGAAAGAATTGGCTATCGCTGAAGCCCAGGAATTGATCAAGCTGGGGGTAAATGAAAATTTTTAAACAGTGTTCATACACAGTGAAATTTTTTATTATAACTTTTATTTAAAGTATCTTGCACTCATTTTGGATTTTTTTAGTTTTGCCACATACTTTATTTTATTTATTTTTTAAAAAAAATATTTATTTAATTTATTTATGTGTGTGTGTGTGTGTGTGTGTGTGTGGCCAGCTCAGTCCACCTGGGGGCGAGGCTGGCTGGCATGTGGTGCTGGGGGATTGAACCGCGGTCCCTGTGCTTTGCTAAGCTTGTTCTAAGTAGGTACTTTAGACCACTGAGCCATCTCACCAGCCCAAAATTTTGCCCCCCGCCTTTTTTTTTTTTTTTGCAGAACCAGGGATTGAACACTGGCTCTTGCACTTGCCAGGCAAGCGCTTATTCCACTGAGCCATCACTCCAGCCCCCACATACTTTAGTATTAGAGGTTAAATTACTTTATACATGTAAGTTGTGTGGACAGTTTTCCATACACAGAAACAGTGACTAGAGAAAGATGACATATCTCCTGAAGTGTTGTCTTTAATTAAAAAGCTAACAAACTATCTAGTCACATTCCGCCCCCCCCCCAAGCCACAGACTCGGTAGTTACTGAGTCTCTAGGCAACATATTCAAAGCTGAGAAGATTAAACAGATCAAACAAATCCTCAGGTCCAACTAAGGAAGTCCTGCTATGTACAGGCTAATCTATATCAGTGATAGTACTTGACTCTGGAGGCTGGAAGACATTCTAAACAACTGGCTTTGGAACAGTTACTTCCAATAGCTTTTCCAGTTTCCAACTTCTGAATAAAGATAATATTTTGTTAATTCTCTTGCAGAAATTTTTTTTTTTTTTTTTTT